TAATGCCCCCTGATGTCCAAAAACCACTCCTGCCACACATGACATAATTTCTGGCTGACTGCCGGCCAGGGATCCTGGGTGATGCCATGTTGATGGCAAGCAATGGCGCTATGCAGCCAAGCCATAGTTGGTCACTGACATCATCCAGGTATGCCTGCCAGCTTATTTACAATTTGAAACATGATGGCTGACAGTGGATGAGTGGTTGCTAGGACATCAGTGGCAGCTTAGCAACCAATGATGTTGTGTGGCTGCTTGGGTCTTAGCAACCAATGATGCCTGTGACCTGCAAAGAAGGGAATTGTCATTTTGTGGTGGTATCAATACCACCAACCAAGGTTAACATGAGTGAGTCAACATTATGATGTTGCTCTTTTTTAAAAATGTACATTTCATCAAATGATATATGGACATGTTGCCAGTTTACACCTAATCAGGTTTTCTGCACCAAAAGTCGGTTTGTCTATTAAGATAACACATGCTCTACCATGTTCATACTTTTCACCTGACATTAAATGTCATTTATTTACATCGTATCCTCTCTACTTGCTAAATGTAATATATATTACTGAGGTAGCAGCAAATTTATAGTGAGTGTTAGATTGTTTACTTTGCCTGTAGGCATGCAGAGATCCAAGCAAAAGAATTGGAAAGCAACAGGAGAGTTGTAATGTCAGGACTGAACAGCAGAGAGCTCCAGACCAGCCATTGCTGCAATCTGATGAAACAAAATACTGATTCAATGTTTCAATTACTCCACATCAAGAAAGCTAATTATATGTGCAAGGCAAATTACTCAAATGTGGCCACACTTTGAAACCTTTTTTGAAAATTGGGTAAATTGTTTTTAGCATGTCCAACCTAAAAATATCTGGAGAGTTAATTTATGGAATACCATGCAGTGCTATCATGACATAAAATATTCCTTTTTATATTTTGCTTACAAATTCTGTCTGAAATTGAATAGTGTTCTTCCATGTTGCAGTCTGTTCCATAAATTGTCTTGCAAAAGTGTGCAAGACAAATATGTGAGCAGTTGAAAGAGGAAAAACACGCACTGGTTAGTGTTGTAGAATCTTTTAATAAATGGATGATAAGGAAATGCACTCACATTTAAAAACAAATCATAAGGCTTTTGTGACCGTAGGAATTCTTAAAACGTATGTCAAGGCAACACAAGAAAACATTAATCAGCTTACAAAATTTGTGGTAAAACCAACACTTTTTTTTTGCACATCAAACATATGTAACAAAACACTTTCAATGATACATTTAGCAGGCCAAAAGGAGCAAAACAATTGAGTTTATTGTTAGGGTTTGTATACACTTAAGGTTATCTTTATTTTAAATACACTTTATTTTTTCCTGTGCAGCCGTTTTTTTTATTATCAGACACTGAGAAATATCACATTTATGGGAATACTTAAAGTTGAACTCCGGGAAAAACACTCAACTCTCCTTGCAGTGGGGCTGTCCTCACACTGCAAAGGTTAAATGCTTGTTTAGGTCTAGGGTTCCTGGAAAAGGGACTTTTATTTACTTCATCTCCACTCCCACAAGGTTGAAGGGCCATGATCGGCATCAATTATAATGCAGGGCCCATAGATCTACAATATATATGAGGACTTCAAGGACAGTTCACAAGTCAGAGCATAGGAAATAATAGTGCAAACACAAATAGTAAAAACAGTGCTTGTTTATCAATTCCTGATTTCTTAGGGGGCACAATTCAAGGTGATGAATCTTACTGATCTTACTGTGAAGAACCCCCTTGTGCTGGAATTTTTTATTATAAATGCCGCTCTCTTGTCCTTGACGTGTTGTTTTACAGTTTTATTAAACCATATTGGTTTAGTCTTTGATCTTTTGCCTTTGCTCCCTAATGGTATACACTTTGAAGTAGCAGTATATAGTGTGTTTTTAAAACAATCCCACATCTGGTCTGTGTTTAGGTATATATGTGTATCCATCACTTGGTCATGAGATCTGTGATACACGCAGGTCTACCAAGGATCTACTTACTTATGATCAACACAACTGTATATGGTGCATTCTGCATAGAAGTAATCAAATTTTTAGTACGGCAGTCACACTCCCTAAGCCCTAAGTTAGGTAGCAAACATATTTATATAAGTAAGTTTTGGCATATAAATTGTACCTTGTAGTGTTGCCTATAATATTAAACCATGACTTGCATTACACATTTCTCTCATCATAGACTAACACAATCCAATATTTTCTGACAGCAGTGATACAACAAAGACTTAAAAAAAGTGGGCACAATAAATGTTTAAACCACATATTCCTTAAATCCTTTAGCTCTCACATCTTGTTGAGATTTCCCTGCATACCACAACACATTTAAAAATGAAAGGTTACAGCATGGTTAACGATGTCCCCCAGACTCCCCTTAATTTTCACATTGTAGTCCAGAGAAGAATAGTGTAATCTAATAATAAATATAAAGTCTTGGGGACCAAAATATGGGGACATATTAACCACTTGCCGTCCGCGCGTAGTAAAAAAACGGACGGACGGCACTGCAGAATTTGCGGGTTGCCGTCTCCAGACGGCAATTTTTTTCTGCTTGCGCGTCCCCCCTAGCGGGCACGCACGGGCAGAAAAGACCCGACTATTGCACACACCCGTTACCGGGTGTTTCACATATAGGCGATTAGCGGCTCCATAGCCCGCCGATCGTCTATATGTGCTCGTTCGCGTCAGAGTTTTATCATTTAATATAGGGGAAACTTTTTTTTTTAATTTCAGTAATTTTTCCTTAACATAGTAAAAAAATAAAAACCCCAGTGGTGAATAAATACCACCAAAAGAAAGCTCTATCTGTTCCCAAAAAAGGGTATACAATTAATTTCAGTACAGCGCTGCATGACGGAATAAATGTCAGTCAAAGTACCGCAGCGCTGAATACTGAAAAATGGCCTGGATGTCAACTGGTTAAAAATGAAAAAAAATGCCACCCTGCATAGCACCTTGATAGCCACGTAAGGTTTTCATTTCAGTATAGTATGTTAGATCAAGATGAGTGAAATTGATTAGGGTTGCACAGATACCAAGTACAGTACTCGGTACAAGTACGAGTACATGTACCGATACTTTTGGGCTCCAAGACTACACTAGAGAAAAATTAAAAAATTAGGAGGCCGCTGTCATTTGTAAGGAGCACACGGAGCTCCTGGGATTTGTACATCTCTGTTTTAATGTACGATTTTGTTTTTATAAATATAAATAAAGGGATGTACAGATACCAGTTTTGCGAGTATGAGTACTGGTACTTGCAGAGTACTTACAAGTATGAGTACTGATACATTTTTATGTGACAGTTTTTTTAAAACAATGCAGACTAATGATTTCAGGACAGTGGTGGAGTGCCAAAGCTAAGTCCCAGCTGCAACTTCTGCAACCCTGGTAGTTCTCATGAAAATGCCAAGTATCTGCACTGGTACTTGAAAAGTATCTGTGCATCCCTAAAATTGATATATTTAATTTCCCTGAAATAATGTTGAAAATTGGGGGATCGTTTTGATAAAATACATTGGACCCCTTAGGGTTACAAAATCACCATTGAGCTATGCAGGACCTGTTTTTATGGTTCTTATTAGCCTACACAAACAGGTAGCAGAAAGGTAAAAGAAAACATTTAAAATGACAGTACACAAATAACCATCTAATACACAAATGCACACACAGAACACAAAGAAATAAACTAAACTACCTAAATACAACCCCCCCCCCCCACATGAAATACATTGGACCCCTAAGGGTTACAGAATCACAATTCAGCTATGCAGGACCTGTTTTTTTGGTTCTTATGAGCCTTCACAAACAGGTAGCAGAAAGGCAAAAGAAAACATTTAACATGACAGTACACAAATAACCATCTAATACACAAATGCACACACAGAACACAAAGAAATAAACTAAACTACCTAAATATCAGAAATGTACATACATTTGGCAAAAAGCTCCCCTTGTGCAAAGGTCTCAAAAATGCTGTGTGGTTGAGCTTTATTGCTTGCATGATGCCAGCAGTCTTTGGGCTGCCAGCATCTTGGCAACCAGCAATGCGTGGGGGACAAACTCCTCACTCTCTGCACAAATTACTCAAAAATGACATTGGCCTTTTTTAATGCAAGTTTCCTTATCTACAGTGATATTTCTTTATGAATTTTTTCACAGTCATTGTGATATAATATAAAGTGTCAGGATAACTGATCTATAAATATACCCCATATTGTTCAGTATATGTAATGCTAAAGAGGACTGCCAGAGATTGCAGACGTACTAGAAGAAATTATGGTTAGAGACAATGGACATGCAGGTTTAGCTGATACCTGAAGAAATGCTACAGAAGACAATGATAGACTGGGGACATGTTCCATGAGGCTAGTAAAGATCACTGCTATTACACACTTTAGTCACTCTCACTACAGACTGCTGGGGCCAAGGGCCACACACCACTTAACAAAGGGGTTCATATAGCCCTGAAGCCGTAAGTTTGGCAACAGGTATCTAAAGGGATATTAGAAATACTTTATTACCTATGACACTGTAAACAGAAAGTTCTATTTCTTCAGATGGCTTTCCAATATATCAAGACATTTTAAAACGGCACAGACAATGAAAATTCCAGAAAAACGTTCAAGGGTAACGAAAAACGTGAAAGATTATATTTTTAAACTTGCCCAGCTACAATAAAAAAAGCTAAGGCTTGTTAAATGTGTACTTATTCTATAAGACAGATTTATAAAATGCCACAACAATTTCTGAAGTAAATTAAGATCAGTCAGGAATTAATTTTCCTTTCAGTCATGAGTACTTCTCAATCTTTTGTGTTAACAGTTTGATAGTTATCTCTCTCTTGACAATTTATGAATGCATTAGTGTGATATTATGATTAAACAAAGTTCATGGTTTTATTTATGAAGCTAAATTGAGTCTGACTTATGTTTTTGACTGTGTACCTTCATCTCCTTTCTCAGAATTACGGAGCAGTTCCTGTGGGAATCCTGGAGTAGCACCAAAGGGTTTATTGTCTGGAGCAAAGTTTGACATTGGAGACAAAATCCGATATAGTTGTGTAACGGGATACATTTTGGATGGTCATCCGCTGCTTACTTGTATAGCAAATTCAGCAAACACAGCATCTTGGGACTTCCCTGTTCCTATATGCAGAGGTATGTTCAAATGACATATATAAACGAATATATTTGAAGTGAGCAAATATAATACATAGAAAAGACTAGCTGATTTAAGGGGAATCTATCAATTTATCTTCTATCTGAATGTCAGCAGTGTGATGTAAATAATGTAAATACATGTTAATGTTTTTAAAAAACTTGTTGATTAGTAGATATAAGTATATGTATATGGAGGAAGCAATATATTCTTATTATAAACACAGGCATCACATTTTTGTTGAGTAGTGCTACAAAATAACTGTGCCTCACTGATCCACTCTCTCAGTTAAAGTCTGTGGATCAGCTCACGTTTGACTGGCATAATGCTCTCTAAGCTCATTTCAAGTGAGATACAAAAAGCTATCATGCAATTAGGGGTAAGAACTACTTGAAAGCCCATCCCCAGGTCCGATCCCTCAGTTGAGTGCCCCCCACATATTCCTCTTTTTTCATTTCTTGTTTAAATGCCTTTTAGGAGATGTCTGCACTCTGATTATGTGATATCCTTGGCTCCTCTTCCTGTAATGGTGGTCCTCAATGACAAAGAGAATGGCCCCATGGACACTTTTGTCTGAATCATTCTCCTGTGAATTCAAGGTGGCTTGATGATCCATCCCCAAGGGGGAATGTCATTGTTGACCTTTTCTGGTGTGATGCCACACTGCTAGGAGGCATGCAATTGATACTATAGGCTCACAGGAAGTAGGTTAAATTATGCTGGGCATCATTCAGCGCAGAAGTGGAGTGATGTGGCTCAATGAGAACACATGCTGCAATGTTGGAGAAGGTAAAGAATGCTTTGGAACCTTTTTTTTTTTAACCAGAGAGATAGAGGCAGAATAATTTTTTTTTAGAAAGAAAAACATTTATGGCATTGGGCTGAGTTTGCATACCAGGGGAACCACTTATAGCCAACTACTTAAAAAAAAGCAATATTAATCTATTTCTCATGCTACTGCAGTTTACATAATGAGGGTAATAATAAAAAAGGCAACATTTAGTATATGCTTAGTCATTTATACTGCAATGAGATCAGTATCATAGAATCCAAAGATTAAATCTCATATTTTTCACTCTTTTATTGATCGCATGAATTACTGTATGTGTGGGATTTGTGTGTATAACGGCTTTGCACTGCAGTTTGATCTCACTCAGTGATACCTATTTCTTATTTTCTATTCACTTGTGGGTTCTTTATAAGCTACAAGAAATAGCAGTTCTTTCATATAATTAGTAATAAGACAATTCCCTATGGTTTGCAGTGCAGAGAAAAGCAAGATAGCTTAAGACTGGGGGCATGGTGCAACAAAACAACATTTTCTCTATGGCAACTACATCATCCCACTTGTACTCAAACTTACAAAAATCATTTTTAAATGTATGAGGGATTACTGTGGAGAGTTAAAAAGAAATGAATAAATCTGTTTAGAGCTGGTAAAGACATTATCATTATTGTGGAACTCCACTGAAGATAATAGGTTAAGTGTGTTAGCCATTTTTATTACAAAGCATCTCATATCATGAGCGCAAGTTAACAGTAATAATGAGTGAACCCGGCAAAGTTCAGTTTGCTGGACATTCGGCAAACCCAGCAGGAAGTTCATGAACACCAAACATAGCACTGAACCCCATTAAAGTCAATGGGAGACAACTCATGCTGTTGTTTCTGCAACATTTTCAAGCTTTTGTTAAAAGAAGATCATAGGTAATGGCACATGTACCAGTGCAAAAGATATTTTTAAAAAAACATCCTTTCGGGTGGTAGCAGGTCTTTTAATGTAGCTTAAAGGGCAACATAAAACAAATACACAAGTGCTTTAACGAATGTGCTTTGTGGATGCCTAAGGTGCTGTTGTGAATTCCTGTGGCAAGATTCTGAGGATTCTTGCAACAGGAATTGCAGGTAGTTCCAGACAGTTGCAGTGCTCATCGTTTACAAAGCAATGGCAATCTGCATTGGCTGCAGCTGCCTACTCATGTTCAGATGTAATCACGAGTGATTACCACCAGTTAGAGACAGATGGTCACCTCCCAGCACAAGAAGCTTGCCTGCTCTCCCATAGCAAATGACAGGTCCCATGGCTAGCTTATGTATGTAAACAAATGGGTCTTGGATTCTTGGTTCACCAGTTTTGGGTGGGTGAACTGGCCAAATATGGGCAGATTACTTGAGCATTCACTAAACTGTGAACAGGCTGGGTTTGGGTTGATCTCATGTGCAACCCAAACCCAAAGCAATTCCCCAAGTTAACATTTACAGCCTTGTGTTAATAATGTATTGGTCCACTGTTGGACTGATTACATTGTATGTAATGGTTACTTTGTTGCTGAAATCCCCAGTGAGAAAAACTAGTTGTAAAAAGGTAGAAAGCTGAACTTTAGGCAGAAATAATAGTCTCACTTTATTGCAGCTCTATATTCATTAATGCATCCTTAAAAATATATTTTAACGCAAGCAGTTTAAATACCTGAATTCGACTTGGTATCAAACTCTTGCAGTCCCTGTACAGTAGGGCTCAGACTGGGAGAGGGAGAAGCAGTACAACGAGCCAATCAGGTGTGCTACCATGTAAAAAGTATGAAGTGACGGAGAGATGTGTCTGTCAGTGTGCTGCTTCTCTTTTCACTGTCCAGCCATGGGGTAGGGGTGGGAGGAGACATGTAAGTAAAGTTAAAACTGCAGCAGAGAATAATAAGGTCCTCCTCTGCTAAGCAAAACTGTACTGAGTTACAGAGCTGTGTATCTCAGGAATGGATAGACAGAAATACAAATACTTTGACAAGTAAAACCGCTCCCATGTTAAGGTACTTCAATGGATTTTTAAGGTTTAACTCCTGAGTTTAGTGCCACTTTAAGTCTCTAATGATGAGAAATGCCCACTATGCTGATTACTAGACATGTGCGATTCGTTTCGTTACGAATCGAAATTCGTACAAATTTTCCTGAAATTCGTAGATTCGTAAGCATACGAAATTGCAGTTTCCGAATGATATCCGAAATACGAAATTCCGTTAACGAATTTCGGATCCGAATTTCTTTGAAACAGGAACTAATATTACCCCTGTAAATGAGGTTGAACAACATGACAAGATTTTTTTTTTTAATCCGAAATACGGATCCGCTGCTGCTGAGGGTTGCATTACAATACACAGGCAGGAAATACGAAATTCCGTTGACGTATTTTCGTTCCGTTACGAACATTCGTTATATTGAAGTTAAAAAGCAAAGTACATTTATATTGGAGTTGATGGTAGTTTTTTTTTATACGAAATACGAAATTCGGATACGGAATCCGTTAACGGAATTTGTATTTCGTTTTCGTTGACCAATCAGAGGTTCTCTTCTTCTGCTGCTGAGAGTTGCATTACAATATACAGGCAGGAAATACGAAATTCCGTTGACGTATTTTCGTTCCGTTACGAACATTCGTTATATTGAAGGTAAAAAGCAAAGTACATTTATATTGGAGTTGATGGTAGTTTTTTTTAAAGTCCGAAATACGAAATTCGGATACGGAATCCGTATTTCGGATACAAAAACAACTGCCACATCAACAATATTAACAAAGGCATTTTTGCTTTTTAACTTCATCATAACGAATGTTCGTAAAGTTATGAAAATGTGCCGAAACTAACGAAAATCCGTATTTCGTACGAATCCGAATTGAGTTTCGGATACGAATTACGAAATAATGGATATTACGAAACGGAACACATTTTTTGACGGCGCACAAGTCTACTGATTACCAGAGACCATGTGGGGAATTTATCAAAACTGGAGCAGACAAAATCTAGAGCAGTTGCCCATAGTAATCAATCAACATGTCTCTTCGGTTTTCTCAGGTAAGATGTGAAAATGAGACAGAGAAGCTGATTGGTTGCAGTGCAAATCTGCTCCAGATTTAGTCTGCTCCAGTTTTGATAAATTCCCCCCCATCTGTTCTGGGCTGCCTAGGCTTTGGGTTACCTGAAGTAATAAAGTTATATTTTATTCATTGCAAGCAAAAGGTACTCCTTTATGCACGTTATTAATGTGATTTGGTAATGTTGATACATATATATAAAGTATAATCCTAATGATAGGTCCATTTTATTGAAACAGTCAATGGCTTATTCTGCCATTATTCTGCCATTATTGCCCATTTCCTCACATAAGTAGTTCAGCAATTATGCTGCTTGTATTGTCTGACGTAGAGAGGGTACACCTGTAAATCTTTATAGTTAACATTATCCTCAAGATTTGGCGCAAATGAATTCAGGAAAACTTTTCAATAAAAATGAAAGTAAGTATTCACTGAATAAGCACAGTAGTTCCCCTTTAATCATTCCTGGTGGCTACCATTATGCTCTCCAATAACTTGCAGAGAATGCTAACCTACATTAAAGGCTGAATGTCAGTACATTGACAGGAATTTGACTGCAGATATTTTTAGTCTTAGAATGTCAAGCACCGAGATAGTTTTCCTTATTTTCTAATAAAATGTATAAAAAGTAATTCTGAAAATGCTCCTTGTCTTTAAATGGTACTGTCAGTAGACATATAAAATAAGTGAATAGTTTTGACAGATTTGACATTTTAAGATTGTTACATATCCAGTTCTCTTTTTTTGTTACATTTTACAGAGTTGTTGCTATCAAGCCAAAGTCATAAGGAGACAACAATTCCTGTTTTATCATTTTGAACACTTGTATTTGTTGAATTGTTAGTTCTGCAAGGGATCTTATTTTGTGGGGATATATAGTATTTTTATTTTTTTCTAAGTGTACATATACTTAACATTTTCACAACTGATATAAAACATGGAGACTAAGGGGTCTATTCACAAAGCTGCCGAGGGCAGCCGAGTGAATGACCGATCAGAAGTAAAGTGAGCCGAACACTGTTCGGCTATTCACTTCAGGCTGGTATGGCTGATTTCAGCCTACATCGGCTGAAATCAGCCGTACATCGGCTTGCTTCGTGTGGCTTGGGATCAGCCGAACATGCTCAGCATGTT